GATCGTAGAGGTTGATAGGCATCATAACGTCGTCTGAACTGACCGGAGACCGCAGCCTTGGGCCCGACGGCCCAAAGTCGGGCGACTCTGGGGGCGTGTTCTGTACTGATCCGCCGTCTGATCCGTCTTCTACGTACGGGCTGCGCGAGAGTCCCGCAAATGGTGGCGTCTCCCTACCTGTTCTCCAGTCCGATCCCGGCGTCAGCAGCTCCGCGCCGGCGTCCTTGGAGTCAATCTGCTCCAGCGGCTGCATCCGCGACGCGCTCCCCGGCCGCCATGCCGGCATTGCCCGCAGCCCTTCGTCCAAAGGCGCATATTTCCTGCCGTCTCTGGATCGCTTCCGCGGGAAGATGCGCCCGCTGAGGGACGGGGTGTGACGGCCGACACGATAACTGGTACCCGACACGTCCGCGCTCCGTCTGCTCTCCGCGCCCTCGTCGTCAAGCTCCTGTAGGGGAATTCCGTAGTCTTCTGAATGGTCGCGTCGATGCGCTGCCATTGAGTTCAGCGGCCGGCGCTGCGCTCTATTCGCAGTCTTAGGTCATGTATCGGCATTGATCTCCGCTTCTAGGTTTGGCAAGTTGAGATGGATCCTTGAAATTCCTTCGGTTCATATTCTAGCCCTATTGCGCCCGCTGTAGGCTGCTGAGCCATCAGATGTCGGTTTGCCCGGCCCGTCCCGCTGGTCCCTCTTACCCGATGCGGCTTGGCGCTGCGCACTCCCGACGACGGCCCGGACCTTGTGCCCCGGTAAAGCTCAGCCTTGATCCCGCAAGCATTCTTTTTCTGGAAACATAGCGTTGAGGCGTTCACGTAATGCGCCTCATGACGACAACTGTCTCCTGCTATCGCGGTGTCATGGTGAAATTGCCCTATGATACCCCTTGTCTGCTTGCTATCTTCGGTGCAGCAAATAGAAAGCGCAACTCAGCCTGTCAGGGCTTGGCATGGGTTCGCAATCAATGCAATGTTTTGTGCAGCAGGTTGATCGTGTCATCACGCGTGGGGATGTGCTTCCGAGCCCAACGAGATTAGCTACATTCTATCATTGACACCGCTTACGATAAGCATGGCTGAATACCTGCGGTGTTACAGATGTTTCATGTTGGGCTCTCGTTGCTTGCTATGCGTATACCTATTCTAAATACTTGATAGGTAGAGTACCCCGAGGCTGTGCATTTTCTGCTCGAGACCAGTCCCTCTGATGCCTTCGGCAAGTTACATAAGATATCCGGAAAGGTATTCACAGAACTAACGTGCATTATGCATGTAAGCCGAACGGCAGTGTCAAGAAGCAGCCTCTCTCGAACCTTGAGGTGTTGAGGGGGCTTGAACACGTAGAGCATTCGCATGCAAACTTCGCATCTCTGGTCAAGTGCTTGGCAAGATGGTCGCCGTTTCAGATAAACGTGATCCGCGTATGATAACAACCTGTAGGAGTTGCAGCTGGACCCACAAGCGGAATTGTTACCATCGGAGATAAAGATGGAAATGCTGCATTCCCATGCTTATATCCTGCGGTCACTCCAATCGTTGAACTATGTCATATTTTCCATTGTTGAGACGTCCGTCTGTGCATTTTCACAAGGGTTACACCTTGAATTCGTGAGAAAGCGTTTGCCAAGCCACGCAATCAACGTGATAATGTCAATGGCAACGAACTTTGTGCAAATTCTTCCATACACACTGAAATAACGAAGCTAAACTGATTACTAATAACCTGTCCTAATCAATCCCCCACTTCTTATCAAAGATGATTCTCTGGCTCATGGCCGCGTTGAGGATCCAATCGTTCCTCACCACACGGGCTTCCAAACCTTGCTTTTCTGCCGTCGCCCGGAAGGTAGCGCATATCTTCTTCTCGGGCGCCGACGTCCCGGAAACGAGGTAAACACGGTCTTCATCACCCGCTTCCTGCTCTTGGTTTTCCCTTTCCGGTGCATCACCGTCAGCTTCGGTCCAACGAATGCTCAGGGTCGTTCCGGCCTTTCCTTGATACAACTGCGCTTCGCCGCCGTTAAGGGTGATGATTTCCTTGTACGTTTCGAAGCCACCGGGAACCTTTTCAGTAACGTAGATGGTCCAGCCCCTGAAGAGACGGCGCTGGTTGGCTTTGGCGCGCTGGAGGGCTTCGCTCAGTTTGAAGCCCAGCCGCTGCTCCGATGCAACGTCAACAAGTAACGGTGGGTTTTTAGTCAGCTGATTCCGCTCCAGCGCGTTGTCGAGGTAGCTGGTTTCTACGACAAGGGGTGCACAGGCCAATGCGGCGACGAACTTGCGTGTCCGCAGGATCTTGGGTGCGACCAAGACGTCTACGTCTCTGGGGTCTTGGGTGAGTTGCACACCCAGCATGCGGAGTCTCGATTTCGCAGCTTCCTCCTCTTTGGGCTTGTCCACCCACCGATCATCGCCCGTGACCATGAGTTTTTGCTGAACCGGCGGCTCGATTTTCGCCTTTTTGGCCGCCTTCTTCCCCTTGTTCTCGCCTTCGATCCCGTCTGCCGTCCCCTCGCGACTTGTTCCTTCGCTTCGTGCGCGTTTCTTCTTGGTTGCTGGCCCGGGAGACTCCTCTATCGACTGTCTTCTTCCCCCATGCAGTACACCCCCTTTGCGCTTCATTTCTTTTTGGAAAAGCGCAATGTCTTCGGCTTGCTTGTGCATGACATTGAGGGCATGCAGCTTGGATGCACGACCGCTGCTAAGTGGTATCGGTGACGCAGAGGTTTCGGCTTGACGGGGAGTGGATACCGCCTTGGAGCGAGGCGTTTTGCTGGGCTGTTGTTTGGGGTCATCTTCTGCAGTGTCACTATCGCTGGGAGCTGCTGCTGCTGCTACCTTCTTCTTCTTTGCAGGTACCTTCTCTTTCACGGGTGAGTTTTCCCTTGCGGGTACTTTTTCCCGCACAGGGATGGCCTCCAGCGCGCGCGAGGACGTGACTTCTTTCGTCGGCGATGATTCTTTCGCCACCGGCTTCTTGATTTTCACTGGCGAGACCTGCGTCCTGACAGGTTTTGGCTTTGGAAAGTATACTTCCTCGATCCGATCCATGTCGAGCGGGACCTGCCCGCAAATTTCACCCAGGTTGGTGTTGGCCGGGAACGTGGTGTATTTGGGATTTGTCAGACTTTGCAGTGCACATTTGGCGTAACTCTCTTCTAGCCAGAGATGATTTACAATGTTCATGTTCCATTCTTGGGCCGCCTCGCACTTTTCGCTTTGCGTGTGTGCCGTGACGAGATGAGTATTGTCCTGTTTCATCGAGCGCGTGAATTGGGCCCCGAGGCTGGTAATCAGGTTCTCTAGATAAGTGCGAGAATCACCGACGTAATTCGAGACGCTGATTCGCAGCTTCTCGAACCCCGGGATACCCGATCGCGGCACGGGATAATGCAATAGCTTACTGGCTGGGTTAGTGTATCTATTATTGTTGATAACATTGTACAGCCATGCTAGGTTGGCAACCTCTTTCTTGTCTCTTGACGCCTTTACGTAGTCTACAGCGTCTCGGTAGCGCCCGATGTAAAGATCAGCCTCATCCAGATCCTCCGTGACGGTGGCACCGCCATGTTCCAGTAGCTCTGAAAGCGTTTCCTTCAGATGAGGACTGAGCGAGAGATCAGACGACAGCTTAATCGTCCGGCCCTTGAGGGCAGTAAAGCCTTTCCTGGCCCAAGAGGGTGACGGGGCGTCGGAGGAGCGGGGTTGGGCAGCTGTTGCCCCGGCCAACTGAGGAAAATCCCCAGGCACGGGCTTCAGGTTTGACGTGCGCAGATACGGTGGATCAGGTAAAAGATAAGGATCTTCGCTGATCTTCTTACCAAGCTTAAAGCAATCGTCGAACCAATGTGGCAGCACGATTTTGCAGCTAGGAAGTTTTGCACTGGCCCCCTTGCACTTTTCATGGTTGTAGTCTGTCGCTACCAAGTGCGTTACCTGTCTGGTAAGAGGGGCGTTGTACGACCCACCCAGCGCAACGACCCCGGCATGTATCGCGTCCTCATCGGCCTCTGGCAGACCTGCGAAACAGACGACGATGTCTTGAAGGTACTGGCTGGGATCGGGTGAGTGCTGTCTCGTTCCCACGAGTTTGTGCCTCGTTATGCATTGATGCACCCAAGACGGCTTCACCGTTTGGATTCCTCGGTCAATGGTTTCGCGGTATTGGGGAAAATCGATGTTGGTGGACAGGATATGCGTCAGGCTGTCCAGACTCGCTTTCTGTTCATCCTCTGCTAACGATACACGCCGGGCTCCATGCGATTCCAGCAAGTCAGCCGCTTTCGCCAGCCCTCCTTCCTCGTCTCCTGGCGCGATCGCAAACACAACCTCCTTGAACAGCGTCGCCTCATTCTCCGCAGCCATAGTTTCCCTGGTTCCAGGCTGCCTGGAGATATCCCATGCGATCAACTTCTTGACCTTCTCTTGTCGCGCGTCGCGTCGCGTTGCGTCGCTATCGGATTTAATTCCGCAGACCTTCGCGCCACACGTTTCCACCCCCGAGAGGCCGGCCTCTGTAGGGCTGGAAGGTGTGTTGGCACATGGCAGGTTGGTCTCGAGAGAACATTCACCCGCCATGTCACCCGCCATGTGTCAGCAACTGTCCAATCTGGAGATCCAGACGTCCAATTTACAAGTTGTTTGCCATGAGTCACGATTATCTTGGGTGGCACCCAAGTCAATCACCCCAGAAGCTGTTCAATATCAAATTGCGTACTTCGATGAGACTTGTTGGGTAGAAGTCAGAATCCAGAATGGTGTTATCCACTAAGAAAATCAAACCGTCTTCATTAGTGTTGATCAAGCACGCTCAAAAGTGTACCCCTACACAAAGCGACGAGCCGCCTCAGTCTTGCGCTTAGTGTGGCTCGAAGTGAAATAGCCCACGCCTTTGTAGGTATTTGGGTGTGGTACTTTGCATGCGCTGTTGCGTTTAATCATCATGTTTGGGTGAATCACAACTCGCATTTAAGGAAAGATGTCTTAGCGATAGTGATGTCAATGGCGTGGTAGCAAAGTGGTTAATGCGATTGACTAGAATATCCGTCATCACATGTCGGATTACGTGATCAATTCCCTTCGGGGGCGCAGGTTCGAGTCCTGCCCACGTCGCTCTTTGCACATTTTTTTAAACTTTTCTTTTTAGGCCAGAGCGGTTTATCTGCACAGCCGCAACCTATACGATGACGAGCCCTCGTTCGCCGAACTTGAAAGCCATCGAGGCGTGAAGAGGCAATCTTGTTTTTGTCTGAACCAAAATGATGTGCCCGAATGTGTGCAATATGTAGTCCCTTGTCTTAATAAGCAGCGGCACCTCACAGGTGTGTCAGTATACACGCGTATCTAGAGTTACCCAAGAAAATTTCTGAGTACTCGAACCCTGGTCAGGGATGTGGGTCATCACCTGCGGATCGCTCCGCGGCGACCTGCACAACAGAAACATCATATTGATTGTCATTTCTACTTTGACATTTTTAAATCAGATCAGCAAGTGTTTGATCTTCGTCTCTTGTCTTATCATTTTCCTCGTCCAGATGAAGTTTAAACCCCCAAAACGTCATGTCGCCAACTCGGATGATGAGCTATTCATACTATTTCTCATGCTGACGATTGTCACGGCTGGTAATGTGGCTGGACCATGCAGGTTTGTTGCCTTACGAAAACGACAATGAAGTGCGTTATTTAAAAATCTACCTCCACACTATCTCGGGATAGAAAACTGCTTCTCGAATCGTTAGATTTATGCAAGAGGTTTCTCCCTCATCATTGGAATCACACATGATCACTATGACTGCTTTCGATAGTTGGCCGTCAGGCTTTTGACAATGCATTGATTGAGTGATTGAAAGATGCCAGTGGAATTTTTTGGGAGCCATATGATGGGTAAATTGGCAGCGGCTGGGTACTGCTATGCGGCAACGACATGGTGTTCCATATTGTCTATGGTCAGTACAACAGGGCTAGCGCTGACATTAAGTAAGAATCATTTAAACCACCCAATCGTTATTGCTGTATTCATCAGTACGACTTTGTTTCAGACCAAGTGTCCCCACTCATTGTCGTTCCCGACAACATGTCGCAATCGAGATGCGGAACTCAAGAGCTTGAGCCCCGAAAGATAGTACCTTCTGGTGAAAAAAGCCCAATGGGTTGAAATATCGGTCATGTTAATGCGAGGGACAAGTACGATGCTCCCGACATTCCATGGGGCAACAATAAAGCATTACTCTGATACGAAGAACATCATATCCAGAATTGCCATCACAGTGGTGATGTGTTGCGAAATAACTTCCCATTCATTGCCATGTTGGGAATATCCAGCATTGATAAAGTAATTTCGAGATACAACCTTTCAAACTGCTGGGCTGTCCATGATCAGCGTAATGCTTTGGCAAGTGAGATATCGTCTTCAAAGTGATCTTGCAAACAGAAATTTTGGGTACTAATTAGGGATGGAGCCAAGAACGGACTCCTCGGAGCCTATTGAGATTTAGATGTGTGTAAACAGGAAGCAGTCGGCGTTTTGGAACCAAAATAAAAGGATGCTGCAATGCCTTTCAGATGAATGCGGTAGATAGTCTGGTTCAATAGACCCCGGTCCTAGGCTAGGTAGAAAAATCGGTTAAGGTTGGGAAAATCTAAAAAAAGCAGTGTGGTCATTCGCGACCCTAGTGAGCGGAAACCTTTCCGCAATGAGGTCTTAGCGTCACACACAGATTTTTATTTGCTTCCGCAACGCACTGCGCTTTTTGAGTTTTCTTCGCGAGACTCTTTGCTTCAAGGTGCTTTGGATCTGGGGGACTGTTGTTAAGGGCTGCTCAGCACCCGACACACTGAGTAATGCTTGACGAGAGCGCTGGGAGGCCAACGCTGTCTGCCACCCGTCCCTCGTCCTCTGCTGCGTATGGCCGGTCTCATATGACCTTGCTCTGTCGGGATGGCTGCTCTGCATCCGATAAAAGGAGTGTCGCTTGCGGAATAAGAGTACTGGGTGGCCGATGTCGTCTGCCATCCGCTACTCGTTCTCTACGTCAGTTGGCTGGACTCATTTGGTTTTACTCTATTTAATTGCGTTCCAGGGTTTCAGACCAGATGACTGAATACCTACCATATGCATCGTAAGCCTATCGTCACTACCTAACCGCGGAAGTTTTCTGGCTACGCATCACCAAGTGCGAAGTCCGTGACTGGAGCGGGGTGGCGAATTGGCAATTCCTTTCCTTGGAAAGTTATTGATGGGGTACACGGCCAAACCCGCAAGATATGATATTGTATAAACCCCCGGCGTTATATGATATTGAACGAATTATCATATAATATTGTGCTTGGGCAACCTAATATTATGGGGATACTCCTTGAAGTATCATGTGAATATTCCCTAGCATCTCGCTGCAACATTTTATCACACACTACGATGATATTCCCAGGAATGTGATGAGAATGCTTTCAGAAGTATCATGGTAATACTTCTCAACGCTGTACCGCAATGTCTTCCCGCACATTATGGAGGTGTTTTCTGAAATATCATTATTATATCGTTGGAATATGCTCGCGATACTGGCTACCATGTCACTATGACGCTATCGCCTCGATATGCCAATTCAACAGCCTAGACCGTCTAGACGTCATACTCTTGAAAGCTCATGGGCTCATCAGAGCACCCAGATCCCAGCTGCTGCAAGATGCCCTCCCCACCATCATCCCTCTTCTCCCACCCGAACTCCTTTACATTCGTCCTCAAGATGATTTTCCTTGTAGATGTTAGCAGTGCAGTCGAGTAAGGGAAGGTAATATTGCTTTTCTTCTGCGGTCAGGGACTCATAGGCTTCATGAGAGCGATCGAAGAAGTCTTCGGACGTCACTACGGCGTGTTCGGCTTTCCATCGCTACAAATCCTTGTCAGGCAGAGCAAAACATACAGTAGAGAAAAGATGTTGACATATCCAGATTGCAGCTGTCTCTGCCCGCTCGATTGGGCATTAAGCAGCAGCAAGCTTGCTTTTGGGCATGAGGCCCTTGACAACTTCCCAGAGGGTACCCTTCAGGGGAAGGCCCACCAGCAGCTTTCGGAAGGCGAACATCACTGATGACTTGCAGCCAGCTCCAGCCACGACCGATGGCGCCGGATCGGGATCGAGGACAGCTTTGGCCACCAAGAACGCCTGGCAAGCGGTTTTCACCAACCAATACACTGTACATATGAGAAAGGGGATCTAACCGTGACAGACAGTGGACTTTCACACTTGGTGGAATCAAACGGAGTCCAGTATAGTTGAAGGATGTGTCACGTGATGACCATGTACAACGTCCTTATGTATGGGGCACATATACAAAACAATTTATACTAGTTAAAGGGGACGAACTAATAGTGTGAGTACACTAAAACATAAATAAAGCTTCACGCATGGTGAGGCCGCCGCGCTGACACTGGATAATTCATTTTTTGGAAGGACCATCAATTTTGAACCACCCGACCCAGGGCAGCCTCCTGCTGCGCCAACCTGGCAATCTCATCTTGCTTATCAAAGCGCACCGTGAGCGCTTTGTTCTGTGCCTTTACCTCTAGAAGTTCTCGCGCCAAAACTGCCAGCTTGATATTGGGGTCTTCCTGATATTTTGATCAGCTCAGGGTGGCAGCATACATGTTAAGAAACCTCACCCGGCAGAACTTGACGAGGTAATTGGCGTTATCGCTGTTAAGTTCGTCCATTCGGGCGTGAAACTCTCCGGTCGTTACTGGGGCTGGACGCAACGACAGGGAACTTGCCACCCGTTTGCGGCCAGGCTGGGTGACTGTTGGTTGTACTGGCTGTCCAGTGGGTGCAGACGCCAGCCGGCCACGTGTGGAACTTTGAAACGGTACCGGTCGCCTAGAGGCATGTGGTATAGATGTTTCAGGTGCGGGGCCCTGGACGCGCGGGTTCGAAAAGCGCAATGTTGTTCCCGAGATGGCTTTAGTAGGCAAGGTCCTGGAGGACACGTTAGCCACGGTGTCAATTGGATCCAGCGAGAGTGCATCTGGTCGATCGGGTGAGGTGATTGCGCTTAGCGTCGATGGCCCTTTATTAGGTGGCAGGAGGTAAAGATTGTCAAAAGGATGTAGCACCCACCATGACCAGAACTATAGATAGAAGTCGAAACTTCTCAGGGTTTTTACCTCTATAGAGGAAGTTTTCCCTGAGACGGGTCATTGTCTCGTTCATGCTTAAGGGCATGGTTCGCTGACGTTGTCCTGGCAAATGCGGTTAGACTGAGGTAGTGTGGGGGGGATTTTGAACCTCACCTCATAGAGATAGACATCTACATTTACACATGTTTCAGTAAAAGTTGAGTGAAAACTTTTGTCGTTGACATCCACTCCGCTCTAGTCCTCGGAGGTTCACCCCTCCGACAAAGATCAATGTCGTCAAGACCTGACTCTGAACTCTTAAAATGAGAATCTTGTGAGGTCTGCGACATGAAAGCTTCTGAACCCTCGGACACGATGTCTTCTTCATCCGCAGAATTCGAGGTCGCCCTCTGCCCTGGCTCCTTACCTTTTCCTGTTGCTGGTCTTTGACCCTTGCCGCCTTTCTTGGACGGCTTTGTAACCGACTTGGCCGCCTTCTTACCACTTGCTGTTGTCTTTGTCTGCTTCTTTCCGCTTCCCACTTGCATATTCTGCTTCTTGCTGGCGGAAGTGGATTCTTGCGGAACGTCTGCATCGTCACTGTCGCTAAAATGCTCCAGTGCTTTGCGTTTCTCGCGCTGCCGTGTGTTCATCGCGAGATAATCTGAGAAAAGCGAAATTAGGGAATCGGGGATGAGCGACGTTGTAGGGAATTGCGAGCTGGCCCGACCCGAGGAGGATACGTCTGGCGGGTGACAAGTCAGCCTATACGTGGTGTCGGCTACGAACCTGCCTACGCTACGACATTTGGCGGAGCTAAAAGGCCTCAACGGGTGATCTGGGTGCGCGTGCGCGTTTGCGTCTCCCTGTTCCTTCAAGGAACGTGGGCCCACAGCCCTCGCCATCCAGTAAGTGAGAACATCTCCGAGACGGAAGAGCTAAGTGGTGGAAGTGGCGCGAAGGTAGCCGCGTTACCTCAATGCCACGTCGACAGCGTGGATTA